TGCCATATAAACCTGGCATGATGACGACATACATATATTCAAATATAGGTGACACGCTTAGATTCGTCATTAACATTTATAATTCGAACTTAGATGAACAAGGAAATCATGCAAGTCATGGTATATGTACAAGATTAGCGATTTAATTATTCATGTTAATACATTCTAAACACTAACACACATCCTTCTCAATGCAAATAAACGATAAACAATGATGAATCGAAAACAATTACGGATGCTGTCCAATCAAAAATAAACATCGCAAAGAGTACCAACATTCCAGATGTACAAGGTACATGTTATAACCTGCGCTTCAGACGTGTCACAAGACAGAAATTGTGTTAAATATTTCATTCATACATTTTACTTCTCTTTCTTTCTGTTGATCAAGCATTTCCTCTATTGTTTTCTTTTAGTATTGTCTTCTCGTGATTTTTCATGTGGGACGTACGTATTTCTCACCTAGATTATGTTACACATTGATATATTTTATCTGATATATAATATCTGGTGCTTAAATCTAGTATAGATCTGGTTTTTGAATTTATAAATAAACCTGTACTACATAATATTGTATAAGGGATATCTTGCATTCCAGATAGAAAAGATTCTCTGATCTAGTTCCGGGTCTGAATTTCACTAGGTTTTCTCGGAATCCAACAGTATTGTATGGCTCAATTTCGTCCTAAAATTTGCGTGTGGGTGTGAATGAAAAAAATAAAAGACACAAGACCATACCCACACGCTTTACTTCTCGGACAACAATATTTTAATATAAAGGAAAAATGAAACTTAATTATGGTATGTCCTAATTTTGTCGCCTGGCAATATTGCAGTCTCTAAAAAAAAAATACGAAACTATTATGTCAAGAAGATATTCACAAGAATGACATTTGTATTTATGGTTTGATAAGACATTGTTTATCAGATGATCATTATCCCATGATAATGGTACTATTAAAAAGTGCGAATAATAACTTTTGACGACGGTATAACGTAAACGAATACAACCTTTTATTTTGTTGATTGATTTTTGTAATCACAATTAGTTTATCAAATATTTTTCAAATCTATCGATCTTTTTCCGTCAATTCTTTTTAGTAGTTTGATTTTAAAATGTATATATATAAAGATATCGTTAATAATTTAATTTTATAATTTAATTAAGAGAAAAATAAGAACAAGGGGAAAAAAATAAAGTCAATATCATATTCAATAAAAGTTATTGCAATGAAACACTCTCAATAAGTTTTTTTTTTTTTTTTGTAAAGTAAATAAAAAGAATATTCATTAAAATAATACAAAAAACAACAGTGGTAAATTATTCTATGATCTGTTAAGTTGATTATGCCATTATTTTCGCATTCTTTAAAATATTAGTATTATCGACAAACAGTTACATTTTTTTGAATATTTGACTCTGTTGAAAATCTTATGTAGAGTTATTGATTTACATATATAACAGCAGAAAGAATGCTTATGAGAGGCATATTTGTCTATGTATTGATATTAATTTACTGAGATAATATTTAATGAAGTCAAAGTACGAATACGTCATAGGATAGTGAGAAGAATACTCATCTGTATTTGAATATATGTATGTCGTCATCATGCCAGGTTTATATGGCAGTTATTAGTAGAATATGTTTTTTGCCTGCGAGTTGATGACGTACATACATGAGAAAATGGAAAGATGTTCGCTTAAACAAGAGTATATAAAATGGAAACCTGCATTGGTCTGAAATACATTGCTTTTAATAGTATTTATTGGATAAAATAATATTAATATTTTATTTATTTATCTCAATACATACAATATATGATGGTTTTATATGCATCATTCAAAGTTGTGCTCACCATGTATGTATACAGATTTCCTATTAACATATATATATATTCATTTATTTGTTGTTAATTTAGTATTTGGTTTCAATCTATCTTGGGTAATAGATGAATATACTATATAGTAGTGATTGTTCTGAAGTAATAATAATCTTTGTTTTTAGGAAACTTAACTGTACCACCTCCTGAATCTAAATGTAATCCGACATTTGCCGATTGCAAGCGTGGTGGATGTTCTCTAAATACTGATTGTACATGTTATACAATAAGCGACAATACTCAAAGTGGAAGTAAAGGTATATGCGCATCAATGATGATATCATGTTCAGTGTTGACTCCATGTGAAGATGATCGTATAACTTGCAAACAACCAGAAACAATTTGTATTGAAAGTCATCGATGCAGTAATCAACCTCTGTGCTATCCAATAGCTTTAGCCAATACAGCTGTTTGTCCACCGTTACCTTCTTTAAATGTTACAGTTACTATAGGTCTGTTATTTTTCTATTGATATACATGCTTTTTCGATTTCTATTATCTAAACAAAACCAATCGAGTATATAGAAAACTACATTTACTTTTTCCATGAAAAATTTCCTACAAAAGAAACTAGTTTTAAGTAACTTTTTCTTTAATTAAAAATCGATTTAAACGGTACTATTAATATTCGATGAAACATCTGATTTTTCAGTTAGGATTATGAATATTTTAATCTATAATAATTAGACAGTTTCTCATATGAAAATATTTGAAGTCTCATTTAGGCAATATATATATAAGCAGAGCACATATATCATCTACACAAAAGTTGAATAAACTATTCACTGTATGAATACAATCCTCACTGGTACAATATTAACTGTGTACTAAGACTAACGGTGTAGTTAGAAATAGTAATTGACTATTATGCATTCAGTGAATGACTAATATTTCTCTGAAGACGAATAGAAAAACATAAGTTTGAAAATGCTTATTAATATAGCATTTGCTACTATGAACGATAATTAAATGCAGTTGTTTTAATAATCACTTAAGTATTAATTTTTACATGTTTTTCTCAACATCTGTCGACATTTGAATATTGAAAAGATTTAAAAATAAAAACAAATAAATTTGAACTGAAACATGAAATATCATTTGTATCGTTTTTATATAGAACCACAATCCGACGTGGTTGTTTGCAAAAATGCAACTTGGAAAAGGGACAAAATCGTTGCAGGTGATAATGGTGTTGGATTTGAAATAAATCAATTGTATCATCCGAGCTATTTCGTCATCGATGAAAATCAAGATTTATATATATCTGATTGGAACGTCCATCGAGTTGTCAAATGGTAAGGATATTATGTCGAAATTTTTTTTTTCACTTATTTTGATAGGCAATTTCTACTCTCTCTTCAGAATTTAAAGAGCTCACTGTATTCGATGTTCAATAGTATAAATCGAAGTTATAAGGTTATTCAAAAACTCTGTATCACTCATATATTATAAAAGCAAATAATAACTAATAACTATTGCGTTTGCTGAATGTATTGATCTTTGTTAGCAATCACATGCTGTCAAAGATCGTGGAAACTATTTATTTCATCAAAGGAAAACTCTGAATCATGATTATTTAAGTAGCTATCAATGTCAAAAACGATATGAGTATTAATCTAATCTTTGTTTTCAATCATTCACGTACATTCAGCTATGGAAAATTGTTTATTTATATGCTTATATTTGCGAATCGCAAATATGAGATCATTAGATACTTGCCCATTCAAGTGTCCAACAAAATAGAGATAGATTTAGCCTCGAAATATACTTATATAGAAGAAAAAGAAAAGAAACTAACACCAGCATGAATAAAAAATGTTCTTAAGTTGTTCAAATCTTCTGAATGAATACAATATGAAATGAAAATTTCTCAAATATCTCCAAACTTCGAAGATAGTATAGTTTTACATCAAGTCGGAAATAATAGTTCAAAGACTTAACAGATTCTATACATTTCAGAACACAATAGCTTTCAATAGATAGAGTAATAGTTGTGATAGACTGAAAATGATCCTATTCTTTTTATTGAACTATAGTGATTCGAATAACTAAAAATGGTCAATTCTTATAAGTCCTATATCTTAGTTGAAATTGTTTTCATACACATCAGACACTGTTTGAGGGGTCCACTTTTTGTCGGTTTTAAAGCAAAATCATTTGATAATGTTCCGTACAGTACTTTATATGATGAATTACACTTGTACCATTGCGTCACCAACAGTAAAGCGCTCATGTCTCAATTTTTACTCAATGTATACTATCTGTGTGAAGTTTTCAAGCAAAAAGAAGGAGAAATTATTTTGTAACGGATTGAATTGGAGTACTTAAAGCCAATTTAGAAGTAAGTTCAGATTTTATTTCGGCATACGAAGGATTAATGGGATAGACAGACACTTTTATTAGAAACTGTTTTTGTCAGAGACTTTTCGGTCAAAAAATAACTTAAAAGCTAAAGACACAGATAGCTATACTGTCACTGTAAGTTTTAACAGATTTTTAATGTTATTTTCCTTTTGGTTTCTCAGTAGTTATAACAGATCAATTCATGGTTTTTGTATCTTTTTAGCTGACTATACTGTAGACTTATAGTAGAAATTTCGACTCTTAAAGACGTACTGTTTATCAGAAAAGTGTATTTTACACGACACAGTGTACCAGCAATAAAGATTTGCGAATGCTCTTTCAATTTCCTTTTTCAAGAGCTTTCGATTGACGTATGACACCAATATAGAAATCCTAATTTAGAAGCTATTCTGCAGGGTGTGGGTGTGGGTGGGTGTGGGTGTGGGTGGGTGTGGGTGT